GGCACGGTACATAATGGCGGACCACGCATTCACGATTTGAGCAAACAGTTCCGTCTCATCTGCTGTGATCCCATATCCTGCATATACACTGACAAATGAATAAACTCAAAATAGCTTATATACTATCCCGGATTGCCAAGACTCGCCAGAAAGCGTTAGCGGAATTCCTTCCTGCAACAAAAAGTGTGAAAGTGGTTTCTGTGCCTTTGTTGCGTTATGCCTTGTCACATGGGGAATCAGGTTGGTGTCTTGAATGTGACCTTGCCACCACAATATAACCTTTTGTGGATAGATGACAACTTAACTCTGTAAATGAATTGGAACACTCCCAGATGACAAGCGGCATATCTTTGAAGCGAACGCAGCGAACGCAATGAACAAACGAGATTTTATTTAAAAGGACCAGAGGTCTCCTTATTTATTCCCCGGCTTTGTCTTCCAAGACGAGACGAACGGTCAACGGCAGAACGGTTATTATATATTCGGACGTTAGACTACCACCTCATTCACACTTTTGTAAAATTGCCCCGCCATGCCCTTTTGTACTGTCGCCAAGGATCGCCCTACGGGAGGTCCATACCAACTCTGCTATGAATTGCACGGGTCGGGTCCCAATAAAGTGTTGTTAGTCATGGGTATGTCCGAATTTCAAGGTAGAGAATGTGAGGGTGTTCAATAATGCAATTTTGCGCAGGTCTGTCGGGAACGATGCGCGCGTGGGACACGACTGTTCGACAACTCTTGGCACGAAACGGTTATGAAATCTGTATCTTTGATAATCGCGGTATTGGGCATTCTGACCAGCCTGGACCGGGTTACTCGTAAGTGTCCCACTAACAAATCTACCAAAATGCATGTAATCTCATGACCGACTCCTAGCGTAAAGGATATGGCTGAAGATGCGTACGAACTTCTTCTACACCTTGGATGGACAAAAGATGTTTTATTGGCTGGTGTCTCTATGGGTGGAATGATCTCTCAAGAGTTGGTCTTGTTGGCTCCTCCTGGAACATTTGGCGCTCTGGTACTTATCTCCACTCACCCTGGACGAACCATCCCCCCTGTAAGTAACAGCAGCCATGGTTTATCTATGCAGGTTTTGTCTAAATTCAACTGGTTTTGATAGCTTCGAACGATCTGGACTTTTGCCTCTTCTCTCCTTCTCCCTGGCACCAAGTCTGAGGAGGATCAATTCCATACTTACTGCAAATTGGTCTTTGCTTTGGTGAGTATGTAGCGTTCAGATATTGCGCAATATTTGGAGTTGACGCAGCTCGACTTTTTTTTAGCCTTGGTTGGATGCCGAAGCCCCACCGCAGTCGGGTTTCCATACAAATCGGGAGATGATATTACACGTATAGTACATGGGTTATAAGATAGTTGCGATGCGATTATTAACGTTCTTTTATGATATAGTCTCTTCGTGAAACTCGCAAGGAAAAGGGTGTCCAGTCAGAGCAAGGACGTATGGGTCAGCTGCGGGCGATTGGCCAACACTATGTATCTCCTCAACGCTTAGCACAAATCGGTGCTCTCGGTATCCCTGTGCTAGTCATGACCGGTACTGAAGATGCTGTAAGTCAAAGTTGGGAAACGATTACATTCTACTCTATTGCGCATTCGCCTTGTCTAATATCAAATTTGTTTACTAGCTTATTCGCCCAAAGAACTCATACTATATTGCGAAGCACATTGGTGCTCCTTTGGAAGTATTTAAGGGCGCCGGGCACGGGTTAGCTCAAGAACGTCCACACCGGTTCCACGCCCTCATGTGCGCAACCTTTGCAAAGTCCAAGGGATTTGTGAAGGTTGCTCAGCCGGATGACCTGGAGAAGACACTCCTCGAGGTGGACATGCCCATCTCCGCCACGAGTTTATAGTGAGAGGGCTAGTAACGATAGTTTGACGTATACTTAATGGTAATTAGGATCTCATGGATGTTCGCCTTTATTAAATAGTATAATATGTGTTAGGATGTGTAAATAAGGAAAAGTTTGCCAGATTTATGTAAAAATGGGTGCATCAATTAATATCCTTTATTCACACCCCGCTTCTCCAGCCCCAAAAGAAATCCTCCTCCACATGCACAATCATTTGAATCATTTACAACCAACGATGTCACGGTAACGCTGGTGCAAAGTCCAGATCCGCCTTATCCACCTTACTTCCCCTCCTCACTATATCCTTCAACTTGTGAACAAATTTTCCTTTATCCTGTCGATCTGGTGGACTTCCCACAATGCCATCTGCATACACACCATGCGGGGTGGGGACAATGGGCGGTCCAGGAATTTGCTTGATAAACTTGAGTCTAACCCTTGCTGACCCCCTACTCAAATGTAAATGATGATGCAGATCGACATCAAGCTCCACCATCCGCTCATTGGCCACTGCATCCTTGAACGAATGTTTCCCTTTAGCAATCAACTCATCCTTATCCTCTGACCGCTTATACGTCCATATCTCCACATGAATATGATGGTGCTCAGATGTGACGGGGAGGACGATCGGGCTCGTTTCTAATGGGTATGTTCTACGTGGGGAGGTATGCGTTTCCGGTATATTATCCGTTCGACGAACGAGGGTCTTTCGCCAGTCGGTGCCGTCTAGAGAGAGCCGCGAGTACAGTTCCTTGTGGGTCAGGTTGATATCTTTGGGGAGTGTTGCGGACAGGCATGTTATTTCCATATTCCCGAGGTAGTCGACCGGCATGGTGGATAGCTGTGTAAGAGTATGCCTTGTGCGATATGACGTCGTTTTTTGGGTTTTTTCGATGGTGTCCCCGGAGGGGGAGACAGCGCCGGGTCCTTTTGAGAAAGCGAGGCGGAAAGATTAATCTGAAAGTAAGAAATACGTACAAAACGACAACAAAGCAGCGCAGGTTTAAAAGCTTGGTAACAAGACCGGAAATATTCGAAAAGGGATACCCGTAAAAGAAGTGAAGGGGGGTGTGATCTGCCCTCGCTGCCGTAAGTTGTTGATGACGTAAACAGCAGGTGACCCATCATGACAAAGGGACGATCTGCATACTTTCATGTTCAAACTATATCTTTTTCCTTTTCCATTATCGCTTTGTTTCCATTGTTGACTTTGTTGGTCCGCCATGAAGAATAGAACAGCATTTGTAACGTCCTATGTTCAGTCCAGATTGGGATCCCCCTTTCCTCCACGACGTCGATGCACACAAAACTCTATCGTCCAGTATTTTGGAATGCAAAGTGTTCAGGTCAACAATTTCACCCCAATCCAAGATGAACTCTGTTATAACATTTATAGAATTAGTCGCAATCCGTAACGAGAAAGCTCAGCGGAAGTCAAAGACAGGGACAAGGCTCCCAAATATATCAACTACGTTGTAGATGCCCGCAGGTTTGCTATGTAATCACCGTAGCAGTTGAATTGATTCAGGCACAAAGGAGCCTTCCAAAGCGAGTCTCTGCAGACGGCATATCGCTCCCATTGCAATCCCAAGTAGTAAAAATCATAACGGCCGCTCATCAATTCCAGTCTTCCCTTCTTCCATATATAGCGCTTACAATGTGACAGCAGTAGTTCCTATGCCATAGAAGCAGTCAATGGTGTCATCAGGTGGTGATAGAATGGCTTAAAATATAACAAAGCCGTGAGCATTGTGTGCCAGAGGGCATGTAGTTTATAGGCCTTTGCTGTCAACCAGGAGCGAGAAGAATGGTCGGACAGGCAGTCAACAGATGCCAACTGTGCCACACCCTTACTTGAAGCCTCATTTGGGATGATCTTGAAAGCTTGTTCGTCTCTCGCGCTGGGTGAGATCCCCAGATCTCCCCCAAGGTCATTCCAGAGCTGTTCTTCGCTCTGGTATAGTGCCATGTTTCCATGTACAAAGTTTCGTGCCTTTACTTGTCCATACCTGCCAGACTGTCCCCGTGGTGAAACATGCATATTTTCACACCAGCCGCCAAAGCCAAGTCCACCACCGATCAAAGTGCCAAGTATGTTAGCGTTTTCGTGCAAGGATCCCTTCTTGATTTGATTTCATATGCCAGAATACTTTCTGAACCTTTTTATGCAGAACGGATATCCATCTCCGAATCTGACGTTTCGCAGACACGTCGGTCATCCCATTCAACAAACTCAACAAAGCCTGCCAATGACGCGGCAAAAACGCACTTGCCATCACATACAAACACCATCCCCAGACCTGCACCTGACACAACAGAAGCCCGTCGACCATCGAGTATAACAAAAGATGACACCAAAGCTCCCGTCCCCCAACCCACTTCTCGGAAACGTCCCACCCCGCCGACGGCCTTGCACCCTGTCGAAAAGCGGCTAGCAAACGAAAAGACGTCTCCCCTCATGGCAGCTTTGGCTTCCAGGGGGTATGCATACAAAAGTGGCACCACTGTACCCGTAAAGCAGGACCCGCCGTCCGCACTGGTGAGTGCTCCAAAAAATGGATTCCCAACACTCCTCCTAACCATTAGCCCATTGTCGCATAGGCATCCTCGAATAGAGCACGCCCCCACCCTCAGGCATCAGTTACTGTATGTTATGTCTCTCAATGTCCGCCATCTGCGAAAGGATGGCGAACTGATGTCAATATAAACAAACTAAACCCATTATGACAGCACATAGTACCGGGGCAAGCACCGATATTAGGCCCCGATTTACATTCAAGGATACCAAGAACGTCAAGGCAAAAGGCATTGACCAAATACTATGCGGAATTCTGTCGAATATATGCACCACTTCTTGCAGAACAGCCTACCTTGGCTCAAGAGCATGCTTTCAAGTATGAGAGCTCATCAATAGCGGCTTTCGTCCTCCCATTTATCTAAAAATGTTTATTGCTGTCTGTTTTAGGCAGGAGGCGGCTGTTATGGCCAAAGCAAGTCCTTTAAATTATATGACCCTTGCAATTTCTTCCTCCCATTGCCTCTAGCTCAACCTGTGGCTGTATCGCTGGATGACATAGGCATAGACGGCGAATGGACGCCACCATCTGTGACGGTGGGCGAGCCACCGGGTAACTCATCCAGAATCTGATTGATTACGATACAATTTCTTACTTTTTTCTCCTTGATACATACAGAGATACCAATGGCCGAGTTAGAAAAGCTGCTGACGTCAACGGAACAACTGCGCTTAATGGGTTACCCCTTTCCTCCAGATGAAGCTGAGCCACAGATCACATATGAGGACAATCAAGAGCAGCAGCAAACATGTGATCGATGCGGATCTCAGTTTATCCCAACGTGGCCCTTGGATGAAGGCCAACAGGTTGCGTGTCGGTACCATTGGGCGAACTTACGGAGTGTCGTGCAGGGTGGTAAGTAGTTCTTACGTGGCAAGAGACACGCATTGGATTCTTAATTCACGACCGCAGGTGCTAAGGAGCGGTTATATGTATGTTGCCAAGAAAAAATGGGGGCTCCAGGTGCGCTTTACGGGTTGCTTCGGTATGAGTTCTAGTACCCAAGCTTGGGCCTAACATCATGTTGTCCAGGATGCGTGCGGGGTGCCCATGTTTTCAAAGATGAGGATACTGTCAAGCTCGATAGATGGGTACGTACGCTCAATGATTTTTTTTTGTCGGTCTACTATTTTGTGGACTGAATTTTTTTTTTTTTTATCATAGATGCCCTTTGTAAGACTTCCTGAAGCATCACGTGTGCCAAAAGCGGAAAAAGTCGTCGCCCTTGACTGCGAAATGGTATACAATCCTACGTAAGATCCATGGAATGCTACTCCCACTAATTTGAGCGTGGCGCTAGTCATATACAACCTCTGGGATGGAGCTCACCCGATTAACAGCCGTCAACTGGCACGGCAAGCCAATACTGGACGAACTAGTCAGGACAACATTTCCGGTCCTCGACCTAAATTCTAGGTGGTCTGGCATCTCCAGTTTAGAAGATGCAAAGTACGATTTGAATGGGATTACAGATCTTCTGGGACAGATTATGGGAAGAGATACGATCCTTATTGGACATGGCTTAGAGAATGATCTTAAAGCTATGAGGGTGAGCCGTATTTCATGCAAGTCGTAAGTGGGTTTTAATAAACTCATGCTTTGCGTCCATCAGATTTATCACACAAAGGTACCATCGTTAACCTTTCATTCTCGCCGCACGCGGCTGATCAACTATGATGCAGATCATCGACACAGCAGCCATTTTCCCGCATCCCCAAGGTCTTCCACGACGGTACCCACTTCGATTCCTGTGCCAAAAGCTACTCGGGCGATTTATTCAACAGTCAACGACCGGACATGACTCTTTGGAGGATGCCAGAACGTCCTTGGAATTAGTTAAATTGAAACTAGAGAAGGGTACGCGTCACTCTTTTTTCAGCTGTTTTGCGGTTCAATGCCTGATATTCAAGTTCGACTTTAAGGGGACAATTTATATTTATAGGTTAAAATGAAAGCGCATCTAATGTTTTGCAGAACTGGTTCTGAAGGCAATGATATACAGCAGGTGCTGTGCCACCTACGCGATGTCCGAAGGATGCTGGACGAGAATGCAGCCTTTTTATACATTATCTATCCTTTCACATGGGCAAAATCTACATTAGCAGTGCGACGGACGCACACCTATAGTCCTCACCACCCGTTCGAGCACCTAATCCCACACAATCTTCTCACATGTGTCTCCGTCCGACATAATAAGATTAGACACCGCGCACTAAGACGGGTCGCTTTCCATTCATCGACCTCATCCTCCCCTGGCCCATTTCTCACTCTTCTTCACTAGCACCTCAACTGCATTCCAGGAAACGGGTCTCGCGAAAATTGCGTAGAAAACATCAGTAGTCCGGCCAAACCACAGCAAAACCTCCTTGAATCTTTTTGTCACGTAGAAACCGAGGATGCGATATACCCACAACCGGCGAAATTCCCATAGTTCCATCCATTGTAATGGATGAATCGAAGCTTCGAATACATTTCATGTACATCCAGGAGAGTACCCCAAATACACTCGAGTACTGCAAGAAAAGACTTATCATTATGGATCTGAACGACCTCTCTTTTCCGATCCGGTCAGAGTTATCTTTTTGTTGTTGCCGTATACCATTTGGTTTGCATATGAAGCACCCTGTGTAAAGATTTGAATTCATCTAGAAAATTTATAAATGTATCTATAATGGACTGTAGATGGATCAATGAGATTATTGAATGATACGACCTGTGAACGACCTCTGTCCGATCTGGTCAGAGATGGGTTTCGTTTTGCAGTAGCATCATTTTTTGAGGCTTGTACATGTCTAGAATGAACGTAGACATGCAAACAATGAGGGGCTCCTTTGCGTGATGCATAGAATAATACAAAATGTGATAATGTCCAAAAACGAAAATTGTTCCTGGAGAAACAAAGTTTTTATCGGCAACGTGTAGATTTTTCGGTCAAGGTTGTGTAAAGTTAACATGTGTTGCTAATTCGAATAGAACAAGAAATCGTATTCGAAAGAATGCGGGTTGAGAGATGCAAGGTACACCATTTCAGACAGTGTGTGGTTGGGGTCTTGGAATGTTGCTGTTTTAGGACTGCATCATGGGCACAACAAGAGCTGACAATCAAGTCGCATCATCAAAATCAAATGTCCCATAGGTAGACCAAAAAATGCCGATTTCCAATAGCTAGCTTCTTTTAGTTTGCTCATTGACTGCCAAAGCCGGTTAGCGAGCTGGAGATTCCCAGTGGATTTCCCCGCCGACCCCCCATCCCCCTCCAAAATATGGAACAACTTTTTAGATTCTTTCTTTTTCCCAAATCACACATCCTCATGACGAATGTTCAAGGACAACCCTTGTTTGGAAACAACAAGTCCAAGAGTTTTGGGAGGAAACTTGTAGAATCTCGCAAACCGTTTTTGAAACTGATATGTGAGTATTTCACTTTATGAGGTAAATAACAAAAATATTGGAAGCCTTGTCATTTACTCCTCTTGGGCACCATTAGACAAGAGGTACCTAGTGTTTTGGTGTAAATCGCTTTTGAGGGTCTCATAGTGAGTGACCATGGGTCTGTGTAAATAAAAAAGTATGTAGTTTAGGTATTTTTGGGTCACAACGACGTCTGGATGAATACAAGTAGGTTTTTCTGAAAATCCCCCATCCACGGACCTCGTGGTAATGCGTATACGTGGATCTAATTCTCAAAGGTGCTTTTTGATAATCGTCAAAAAGCTTTTTTCTTTCGGGGCGTCTATTCAAACAACGATAACCACCGCCCCGCCATTTTGCCGATATGTACAAACGTGCAAGCGAACAAGTCAAGATAATAGGAAATGGAAAATCTGGAAAACCAGCACAGCAAGCTGAGGTTCGCTATCTGGCAAATTCCCTGTTTGGACCTAGCATTCGCCGCTTCCGAGACTAGAGTTTTTAAAATGTTTGTACTGGTGTTGAGTGATGTCTTTTATTCATTCCACAACGCATAACCACCCTAATGGCAATGAAACATAGATGAGAATAACAGTAGAGCTTATATATTATATTTTTGGTTTACGTTACATATAAACAAAAGGCAATATTATAAAAAGGGTTATTTGCAACAAGTTTCCAAAATGCTTAATAAAGGTCCGTTAACGTCACCTTACGCACACACATGGACGCAGTATGCATCCTTTTACAAAGCACCACCTCAATTTGGCCTTAAAAAAATCCCTTAATAAAACCCGAGCTGCACACAAAACAGTCAGTGCATGTGCGTGACAAGCTTGCCAAAACCACCAGTTCCAATATCTATACTCCACAATTATTTCCACACACTCACTAATCATCCAACCCATAAAACGACGAAAGTCTCCGCCTACACTCCACTTTATGCACACCCCAATGCCCAACCTGACATTCCCGTGAACAATACTTGACACCTTTACACCCCCCACATTTTTGGAACCGTCTCACAAATTCAGCACTCCCACACCCAGCACAACAAGGTGTAAACACATCAGTAGGTAAAGCCAATAACCCTAAATCCGTCCAAGGCGTCACAGCCGAAACAGGTACAAACCCATCAAGACGACGTAAATGTTTAGGAGACATCATGGAGAGGTTATATAATGCCGCGAGACGGATATCGGAACAAGGAGGTGGAGAGGCATTCAAGATGGATTCCAAAAGTTCACGACCGTTCCGTGGTTCCACGCGGGAATTCAGGACTGCGAAATTCAATTTAAGTGTATAGTAATGTCGGTGGTCGTGCGTTGTGTCCAATCGGATGGCGATTTGAGATAAGAGGGTACAGTATGTTCGGAGGGCGGTTGAAATGTATTGGGTGTGTGTGGTTGATAGGGCTTCCCATGTTAATGCGTGGGTTTCGAGGGCGGGGAGGTAAAAGGGGGAGGAGGGGTTGAGGGCTGACAGGCCGTGTTTGTGGAATTGGAGGAGGTTGAGGTGTGGAGTCGTTGGTTTGGGTGGGTAGGAGCGAAAAAGGGATGCAAAGCGTTTACTAAAACCAAGAGCAGTGAGAGAGTGAAAAACATTCAACGAAACCAAGAAACAATCAAAAAACCTACTTGCCAAAAGCCCTAAAAATCAACTCCAAAACCTCCTTCTCCAACCCAGGAGTAACAACAACCTCCTCCCACACCACCTCAACAAAACACTCGTCCACAAAACACTCACCCAAAAAGGCACCCACCCACCTCGTATTCTCAAAACCCGATAAACAAGAGCCCAATCCATTCATCTTGACCTCCCAAAATGCCGCCAAGAGGAGTCGTACGACATGGCTATTCAGTTCCTTGCGGGCGGGGATGGGGAGGATCGTATCAATAATACCGGGGAATACAGCAGAAATGATTTCAGCGTTTTCAAAGCGGGCTGTGTAGAGTATCCCGGATTCGGGGACGTGGATGGCAATCTTGGGTGGGCCATTGAGGGCTTTGTTGAGGGTGTTGTGCGAGAGTGTGTCTAGGAGGGTGAGTTGGGTGTTTGTCCAGATGTGGAGTGCGAGATTTGTGGGGTTGAAAAAGGTGCGGTCAAAAGAGAGGGGGATGCCCATTGTCAACTGTTAACGTTGCGGGGGATCTAGGACAAGTAGGTTTTTGGACGTTGTGTCGTGTCGCGGTGAGCTGTGTTGATTACGAAGCGCGTTATCGTCGCGTACAGCGTGTTGCCTAAGAACGCAACCTTTTTAACTGTCCTCCCGTTTTTGTTCGTATATACACGTACTGGGTCGGAATGGTTCGTATTCTTGTACGAATGTCCTCAAACTTTTTTGGCTGTTCTCATTTCAACAAAGTCAGCGTCACAAACCCTAAAAAAAATTAGAGTCTGTCTGCAAAAACCACTGATGACCGCCATATCTAGTCAAGAATAACATATTCATATTGCCCAACACACCATTCCAGAATATAATACCAACGAACACCTCTGAACCAAATCTATGGAAACCCCTCTGCTTCGCACCCCCACTCTAAACACACCCAAGCCCATCCATTACATTAAACATATGCCCATGATAAGGGAACCCTACGGAAAAAAAAAAGAAAAAAAAAAAACGATGGAGGCCAATGAGCATATCCCATGCAAGCTGCTATGGATCAAAAGGTGGACCGCGTCATCTACCACTAAGATCATAAAACACACATCTTCACCAAAAAAAAACGCCTTGAATAAAAAAATAAACGAATAACGGTCAACGTCTCCGTTCTTTTTTTTATACACACAATACCGAAAAACATAAATGCAAAAGAACAACATGTAAAAAAAAAACCTTGCTACATGACAAAACGTACAAACAACCCTTTTCTATATACTGCTTTTTCTATGCAACATAAAAAATGTTCTCTCTTCAAACTATGCACATTTCTGTTTTTTACAACAAGGCGAAAAGGGATGCACCAAGGAGCATTGCAGCAATAGATGACAGCGTCGTAGAATGGATAGCAGAACTTTGGATAGGTGTGCTTGAGCCTGCCGTCGAGTTTGTCTTGTTCTTGTTGTTGTTGTTGTTTCCGTTTTTACCAGTGTTGCTCGTGCTGTTGCCATTCTTTTTACCGCCGTTCGGGCATTTACCAGTGTTGGGTGGAGTGGTGGTGCTGTTACCGCCTCTTCCGGGTGTGGTGGTGGTGTTGCCGCCGGTGTTGCCGCCAGCCGATTGGAGGGTGAGGACGTCAAGAACTTGCCAAGGTGCTCCGGGGGCTCCTCCAGCTACAGCGGCATTGACTAGAGAGAAGAGAAAGGCGAGTTAGCAATGTGATTGCGAAAAGGCGAAAGCGAGCTGCCTTTGGCCAGTGAGCGAGAGCGCTAGCAAGAACAAGATCTGGCTAGGTCACATGATTTGCACCAAGTCACATGATCTGCCTCTGGGTTTCATTTCCCTCTCCCTCATTCCCCTTTCTCTTTCTTGCTGCGCTTGAAAGTAGCTGCGCTCTAAAGCCATGAAAAATGATACTCACAACTAATGGGGCCGCTGGCAGTAGCGGGAGCCGTCCATTCAAACGTCACAGAGTTGCCCTTTGGCGTGGGATTTGCGTGTGTAATGGTACTCTCTGGGGCGTCATTCTTGATGGCAGCAGCATCACAAATGGTGGCGGTCTGAGCACGGAATCCGGCGGGGACCTTGAATACACCGACATGCTCTTTTCCATTGTTGGGAGCGAGACCGGCGTCTTGCTGTGTGCCTGGAGTCGCGTACAAGAGCGTGCCTGCAATGGGTGTGGTGGTTCCGGCAATGGTAATGGTCAATGGCTGTCCAGGCGTCTATAAAAATGAAATCATGTAAGCAAAAAAACAAACAAAACACAAGAATACAAGAATATTTACATAAGACTTTGCTGAAGCACTAATCTTGTAACCAGCAGCAGGAGAGGGAGCCTGATGAGCAGCTGTAATGACAGCAGGGTTAATGGCACATTTGGGAGCACCGGTAGGAAGAGCGAGAGCCGATCCCGAGAGCAAGAGGGCAGCGAAAAGTGAGAATGCCGAGCGCATCGTTAGACAGTGTGAAATGGGTAAGGAACGGGATAAAGAGCGAATAAAGAACGAGAAGGGGGGGAAATCCCTATAACATAATTTATATAACAAAAGCCCATTTAAATCCACCCTCTAATAGTCAATGAAACATGAATAATGAACCGCTACCCCCAATAGTTAATAAAACACAAGAGAGCGGCGAGAAAGACAAGGGAACTCGTTTCAAATGTATGAAACTCTTTATTCCATTTATAGTTATATTATAATTATTAGATAGATAGAGAGAGATTTATAAACTTTGTATGGATGGAGACTAGAACTCTCTCTCTCTCTCTTACACTCGTGTGCATGGGACGCAACTACTCTCTTGCATACTCTCACACACTCGTTTCTCTCTCAAGTTTCAATTCTTTTGTTCCATTTAGAATATTATTATTATTATTATTCTTATTCTTACTCACACATTGCATTGCTCTCAAATACGCTTATTCTCAAGTCTTGCACGTGGATTCTTTCTTTCCATACTTTTTTTTTTTTTTTTTTTTTTTTTCTAGAGCGGTCAGCGGCGTTTCCTTTTTTTTAATGGACAAGGGATCCAATATCCAATAGGGATCCCCAAAGGGGAGGGGTCCTAGAGGCCCAGACTCAAAGTGTGTCTGGTCACTGCGCATTAGGGAGTGTTTCATCTTTTGTTACATTCCATGGCGGTTTATTACATTCCAATGAGGATAGTGGATGCATGACATAAGCAATTGAATATCATGTACTTGTTTTGACTCCGACTTTTTTGTCAGAGTATTTTTGCATTCTCAAAAGCATGGCTGACGATGAGAACGTGTCGACGACGACAGGAACGGGAATGGTCACGAGCAGTGTCCCCGCATCACAGTCCTTTCTCGACACGCTCGCCCAGTCCCGCGCTCAGTCCCCTCCCACACTCCTCGACAAGGACATTCGCGACCTCGCCATCAAAACGCTCGCTTCAGACTTTTTAAATGTTTCGGATGCCAATGTCGCCCTTCGAGCGTACTTGGTTGAAACAACACTTCCTGCTTGTGTCTTGGCTATGGAGGCTCTCATTAAAAATGTATTGAAAGGGAATCGACTAGAGAGCGATGGCACCCTTTTGCCTCTCGAGCCGGATGAAAAGGATGGCAAGCAAGACAATAAAGAGAAGCAAAAAGACACGATTGATTCCATCAATTGGTTGGGTGAGTAGAGTTTTGTGTTGGCGTTGGAGTTTGGGTTGGGGTTGTTACGAGTCTGTTTCGGGTTACGGTTCGCATTGGGTTCCGTGTTCGGGTTGGGGTTGTAGGGTTGTTGAAGAGTTTGGTCCAGGCTGGAATAGAGTTTCTGTTTGGTCTGGTGTGTTCAGGGTCGGATCTCGGATTCGGTTTCGTGATGGGATTGGGATTGTTAGCGTTAGGGTTGGTGAACATGGACGCATGGCGATGCCGAGAGGGGGAGCGCACTGTTCACTGTCGTGGAGGCATGCGAGGTTGCCTTTCATCATGTAGAGGGACATTTGTTGGGACGGCCCATTATTGGTTTCCCATTTCGTTGCTTGTTCTCTCATGATGCGGCACTTGCTCCTCACTCATCTTGATCCAATGTCCTCTTTTTATTTTCATAGCACAACACTTGTACCGCAACAACCCCCGCTTTGCCAACTTCACATCCCCAACGCCCTCCCCCTACCTCACCTCCCTAACAACAACCACAACCCTCCTCAAATCCCGCCTCTTTGACATTGAAGCGACAGCACAAGCTAAAAAACGCGCCCAGGAAATCCAAAAACGACAAGAAATGGAACGAGAAGCGAGGATGGAAAAGGAAAAGCAAGCGGAGAGAATCAAGGTTTTTAAAGAGTTGTTTGGGACCGTGTTCAAGAGGTGGTGTCAGAGGCTTTGGAGGGTTTCTCCTGGGTTTGTTTATCATTTTGAAGTGGTATGTATATGCTTGCTCTTGTGTCTTTTACGTGCGTTTCTTTACGGGCTTGTTGTGTGAGATCCATATCGATGAAGACTATGAAGCGTCTATCGCGCACATTCTCATCATGATAATGATTGTTAAGGATCTTGGTATGGTTATGGCAGTCGCTGTCGTATTCGCATTTGGATGATGGCTGTTGCCCGTATATGGACTGACCGGGTGTCGTATGAGTGGGCAACACTAGTTCGTTGCTGCCCAATGGGCGAGTGAGAGTAATGGGTGAGGGTCCAAGAGTGTCCTCAGTTCTCACATCTTTTTTTACTCAACACAGCTCGAAGCATACAAGAAAATATTCGGCACAGACACACTTCAAAGCACACCCGACCTCCTGTCTAAACTTAATTCCCTCATCGCCTCTCTCCCCTCTTTGTCACCCACCCCAACATCCCGTCCCTCCTCCGCTACCTCTACCCTCAGCGCTCCCAAATACACACTAGAAGACTACACAACAACTCATCTTTCCCTAACCTCCACCTGGACCATCGCAGATTTACAACTCTTTCTCTCGAAACTCTCGGCGCACATTGACAGCACCGGCGAAACACTGAAGACAGGTTTCACAACCTCCTTTTTCTCTCCCGTCATAGAAGCACCCACAAGCGACGCATGGATAAAGACAATCTCGACCGCGATTGACACGTTCAACGATGAAGATGACACAGTCGACGTACAGGGCGTCGTTGAATTATGGAAGGGATTCCAAAATGAACTTGGGACTAAAAGCATTGCGGAAATTGAGGCAGAATATCGGGGGTTTTGTAAAATGGTGTCGAGTTTGTTGGGCGTCAAGACGTTTCAGGGATTGATGGCTCATTTTCGCCGAACGCTTCCGACGAATGGGGAGGGTGGTGAAGGTCGTACGTTTACGCCTCCTACGGATGTGACCACCACCACCGCCGCCGTCCCTGCCTCCATAACCGCCGGTGATACCGTTGTTGATATCACCCAAGCACTGACAACCATCTTTTATACGCTCACCGAAACCACCACCCTCACCACCAAATCGCTTACAATCCTCCTAACCCCGCAAGAAACATTCCCGGAACTGTCATCCCTAACAGAACATATACCCACCTCCGATCTAACCCTCCAAGAATTCATTGAATACCTCTCACCAGTCTTTTCCAACCTCTCTCCAGAGGAAACCGGACGACTCTTGACGCATTTACGCGAAACGGCGCTTTCGATCCGTTTATCGGCGCTTTTTGAGCGGTTGAGTGGTGGGAAGGGTGTGATTGATCCTACCGTCTTGTCATCCCTGTTGGATCGCATAGAGGAGTCAAACCTGAGTGCAGGGCAAGAGCTTGGTGAGTTTATTTCGTTACATGAGTAAATAGTCGTACTTCTAAACATGCTGAACCGTTCATTGACAATTCGGATTGGATCGTATAGGAGATTTACAGATACAAGCGTTTGGTGAGTATCAAGAACCTCTTTAAATTGACGACAATAATCCAGGTGCAATACTAAGATTCTTATTAAAATAGATGCTACGAAAGAATGGTTACAAGGTTCAACCCAAATGGACCAAAAAGAATTCATCCAGAAAGGCACACACATCTTTTCTGCCGACCCCTCTGAATCCATTACCGTCCTCTCAAAAATCTCCAAATCCCTCGACACCATATCCGCGCCAAAAACCAATGAAGAAGAAAAATACACTCAAACCCTCCAAACCCTCGAAACCCTAACAAAAGACCCAACCCAACCCCTCGAAACCCTCACAAAAACCTTTTTACAAACAATTCACAAAATCCTTCCACTAGAGATGGAGATTTCCTTACAACACGGCTCTCAAACCATTTATACCATCAACACGACAACACCCGAAAGTGAACCTTTATCAAATCCTTTCATCCTCCCAATCTCAACTCCCATTCTGAACGGTACATTCACAATCAACAATCCACCACCCACCCCCTTTTTCTCCCAATCAACAGAAATCCTGTGTCGTATCATTCAATCCGTAGTGGATTTGAATGACGCTTTGGTGTTTGCACGGGATTTCAAGGTGGGGTGTGGTGGAGAGGTTTTTGTTTGTGTTCCTGGGAATGTGTTTCGGGTGCTTGATAATGTGCAAGAGAAGCGGGAAGGGGATCGGTGGGCTAGGCCCTTGGGAATGGAACTTGTCAGAATGGGACCAGAGGATCCTGAATGGTATGTTTCGCAATGTTTTTTTTTTGATTGTTGCTGTCGTTTTTTGCGTATGGTGCAATATGGGTTGGATATGTCTATTACCACTCTGCGGTGAAAAGATCTCAGAGAATGGGGAGAGTGGCAGTTTGTCGGGGGGTGCAAAAGAATGGTTTCGTTTAGGTATGGTACATGCAACTGTCGTTGGCATGGAAAGGAAGATACGAAGATGGGTATTTGGAATGGTCGTATGGGTATCGCTGGAAGATGACCGGAAAGAACGCTCGTCATATGCGATTATGGTTGATACACTGCAAACAAAAGTGCACACCCCGCTCCACCACCCAAAACCAACACTCGATACTTACAAAAACACTTACAAAAATCCCATAGGCCCGACCTCCAACCCCCGACAACAACCTACACCTCCCTCCCTCCCCTCCTCCTCAAAGCCCCCACAGAAACCTTTCTATTCCCCCAAACACCAACCCCCCTAAAAGATCTAAACACCCTCATCCCAACACCAAACAACCCGCACCTCCTCCTCCCAAAACTCCGACTCTACGGCGCGAAAACGGCGTTAGTGTCTCTCGATGCTCGTGTTGTGAGGGAATTAAAGTCGTATCGTCGACCGCCGGCGGTTGTTAAGAGGGTTGTTAGGGGTGTGCTGTATTTGTGTGGTGTGGCGCCTGCTAAAGGTATGAAAAACGAAATTTGGTATTTTCTTTGTTATGTTTTTGGGTATTGATGTTTTTGTTTATGTTACGGTTTTTTCTTCTTCATTTTTATGCGGTTCTTTGTTCGTTCACTACTACGCTTACCTACGATAAACACTCACAAAACCATCGTTTTCCCACAATGAAAAACTCTTGACATTGCCCTCGCACCACAACAACAAAAACGCGGTTTCACCCTCTCTTAAAAAACGGCATTATCCTTCCCTTACACTTCCCCCTCCTTTCACATCAACAGTCAAAACCTGGCACACCCTCCTCACATACCTAACACCAGCCCTATTAACAACCCTCCAAACCCACATCCCAACAAACACACCCAAACCCCACATTCGCCGCGCCAAAAGAGTGTTACGCCGTCTCCCAGAGGATGTGGAAGCTAGGGGGAGTTTACCTGCTCGTGTATTACGGGAATGGTGTTTGGGTGTTATTGAGGTTTGGGAGGGGGCGAGGAAGCGGATTGATCGTGGTGGTGGTGATGATGTTGTTGTGGGTGATGTGGAGCAAGTACCAAATAATGATTTAGAAGAGGAGGAAGATGGTGAGGATGTTGATGAAAGTGATGATGACGAGGTTGAAGAGGGTGAAGAGGGTGAAGATTTACAAGAAGATTTACAAGAAGGTGGTCAAGATCTTGATGAGGGGACTCTGGAATCTCGACCACTTGACTCTGACCAAGAACCGTTGGAAAACTTGACATTGTAAAAAACATAGAGATAACTTTTAATAAAACGTATTCGTTAAAAAGACCGCGGCGAAATAACATCAACACACTCTCTGTGTAGTTTAACGGTAATTTCACAACTGAAAGTACCACAGTGAAGCAATAAACACTGACAAGCTCCGTACATGATACGGATACTGACAAAGACATTAAACCCAAAAACATCCCAAAAACATGGAGCCTGATATATATCTCTATACTCCAAACCATTCTCTGATATATACAACAACTGTCAATGAACCCAACAATATCCCTCAATATCCCAATTCCATTAAACCCAACACGTCATTCAAAAAAACAAACCCTCACCTCCAAACCGACATTCCCATAAAAATCCTTCCCAAAAAATACCTTACCAAACCCCCAACATCAAAAGGCATCTCATACCCTCCCACAAAACACATACCAGCACACCTAAACACTATGTCCAAATCCCCAACACCCTACTCCAACAACCAAAAAAAACAAATATACATCTATCATCGACACACTCTCATCAAAATGTCAGTACAAAATGATATCTCCTTATCTGCATACCACAGCTTCCGCCTTAGGACTCAAGTGAGAGTCAAAAACATGTCGCAAGCCCGAAAGAATTCATCGAGTAAGTACCAGGAGCGTACTGTAAAGTATAAGAAAGTATGTAGCCTCGTGTTTGTTGTTTAGCTACGAGTCTAGCCAAATGTACAGAAAAACCGTCGTAGAAACCCCCTTGCACGGATGATCAAATGCCAAAAAAAAGGCGGTGAGAGAGAAAGGTATTGCGAGATCATGTCATTCTTTCGTGAGTTTTTCTGTTCTTGTACAGTATTAGTTTTGACGTTTTTCATGGGCGTTAACGGATTGTCTACTATACCAGCTCTTATTCTAGTTTCGCAGTTTTAGGATTTTCGATATTTTGTAGATGGATTTCGGGTGGGACTTTACGGACGGTCAGTGTGGGTAGCGACATGGGTATCAACACCGTGACCAGCAGTAATAAATTCTACACGGCTCTCTGCACGGCTGTCTGCACGGCTCTCAGCTCGACTCTCAGCTCGACTCTCAGCCCGACTCTCCTCCCCACATCCATCACCCCCAACAACCCAATACGGAGGCGGTTCATCCCCACCAACCTCGCTACACTCCAAAACCATCCTCTCAAACCTCTCCCGACCTTTAGCAAAAGCCCCCAACCCACTCCCAAAATACACAACAACATACAAAACCCCTTTTCGAACAACAGCCGCATACCCTCTAAACTGCGTCCTTTTATTTCCCTTCAAGACAAAATGCCAAATTACACCCCCAGAGCACCATCCCTCCATTGTTTGTCGCGTCGCTTCCACAAGGTCTTTATGCGCGGCTTCCAAGAGTTCTTTTAATGCTTTTTGGGTAGAGTTGGGTGTTGGGAATGGTGGGAGGAGGGTAATACATGTAGGTGGATGTGGAAT